CTCCGGGGCGCCGACAAAGCAGCCGCATGGGGCAAAGCCGCGGCACTGGCCGGCACAGCCGCGCTGGCCGAAACAGCCGCGCTGGTGACCGTGGAGCACCTCTGCCCGGGAATTTCCTAGTCTGTGGGCAATAAAAACACGGCGTCCACTCACCCTCTGCGCTTTCACTGGGAGCTGCAATCCTGAGCTGTTCCTAAACGGCCATCTTGGATCCACCCCCTGCAGAATTTTGATATACAGATTATTTCATCACCCAGATAATGGGCATAGTACCCAATAAGTAGTTTTTTAATCCTCACTCCCCTTCCACCTTCCACCCTCAAGTAGGCCCCAGGGTCTATTGTTCCCTTCCCCAGTGTCCATGTTTGCTCAATGTTTAGATCCCACTTATTAGTGAGAACAAGCAGTATTTGGTTTTCTCTTCCTGCATTAATTTGCTAGGTAATGATTGTCTCCTAATGGCACTTAACATGAGCAATTTTAAAAACAAAATGCTACATTGTTTTTTATAAATGTTACTAATTTCTGTATAAGAATAAATTTGTGTTGCTAAGTAAAAATACATTAGCAAGTTAAATGCAAGTTTCAAATTCATGTTTAAGTTTTAATTCTGTAGTTGGTAAACTGTACTGCATACTATAAATTTAAGCATAAATGAAACAAGATCTCCTCAGAGAACTTGCCTGATACCTGGGGAAATAGCACACACAATTAGGAAACAATATGATGAGTGCTCTAGGAACTCAGAGGAAGATGCTATTCATCTTTCCTGGGAAGACACTACTCATCTTTCCTGGGAAGACATTCACAGAGATAGTGACCTTTTCATTAAAATAAGAAGTTTTTTAGCAAATTAGCAGTAGCTGATGGTGATTAGAAGGAGAGTCCCAAATATATTCACATATTCATTCATGTTTTAATTGGTTTATTCTACAATTGTTGGTGAATATATACTATATATTAAGCACCAAGATAAATACAAGAATGGACAAAATAATCACTGTCCTGAGGAAGCCTTACTGTCTAGGAGAAAAATTACATGAAAAACAGCAGAGTGAATAAAATGTTGAAGGTGCCATGACACGTCTTTATAAGATTTAATGGCATTTGGTCAGTTTAACCTAGAGGAATAGGAGAAAGATGTGTCAGGAATGTCACAGGAATTTCTACCATAATTACAAGTTGTTTTCTCCCATATTACAAGGTTCATAAAGATAGATCCCCGTTTAGAAGTGAATAGCCAATCCAATCATAATCCATAGTTTCAACAGGAGCTTTGTTCAGTGCATCACTGTCTCCACTAGAGCAGTGCCTAAAACAGTGGTTATTCAGTAAATACGTATTCACTGATGAAATTTGTGGGCTACAAAGAATACGTCATAAACTTTGGTGCTGAAACATGAATATTTTTACAGAAATGGGACAAATGTTTTTCCAACAAATTCTGGAAGTTTCTGTTCTACACTTCGTTTGTGTAAAAATAGAAAACATATAATAGCTCCATGTTTCAAGTAAGAAGGTAACCATGATAGTAGCATTGAACTGAGATAGGACTGTATTCTAATTCGATTCTTCCATTCCAAATCTGTGTGATAATGGGGAATCTCTTACACTTTTTGAGTCCAGTTTTGAATTTACTATCTGGAAATAAAACCTATTTCACATACCTCACAGGGCTGTTTAAGGATTTAATGATACAATGCATGTATGTGTCCTACTTTAAAGTATCCTAGACTATATACCAAAATTAAATTTCTAAGCTTTAAGTATCACAAGAATGCCTTCCAAGAGCAGTTGATAAGCTTCTTTGTTTTGTTTTGTTTCTGCTTTTCTCTAGTGCAGTGCCTGGAGATGACCACCAAACGGAAAATCATCGGCCGTCTGGTGCCGTGCCGATGTTTCCGAGGTGAAGAAGAAATCATTTCAGTTTTAGATTACTCCCACTGCAGTCTTCAGCAGGTGCCAAAGGAGGTCTTTAACTTCGAACGAACATTAGAGGAGCTTTATCTAGATGCCAATCAAATTGAAGAACTACCCAAGGTAACTTTTGACAACCTAAAATATACAATATAAATGAGTATTTCATAACTTTCAAAGGATTTGTTTTGTTATAATGATAATGTTAACTCTGGCCTTCTATCTAGGTAACTGACAAGTCATTTAAACTGATATAACTTCCTCCAATATTCACATTGCCTTTTAATATTACTGCATTTATGATTTCACAGGCCTCTGTTAATAACAAATTGAACTCTATGGAAATCACCATTTGATGGATTATGCTTGTTATCTTCATTTAAAATGCCCTCTATACAATATAGAGTAGAGGGTTAAAATCAATAGTTTATGTTTAGAAAGAAAGGAAAAATATGACACTACTCCAGAGCTGAAAATGTGTGTGTTGTGTTAAGGTGACATTATATTAAATCCTTGAACTAAGAAATGCTTTTACACACATTAACACTATCATGAAAAACATGTTTTTGTACCTGAATGTAAAATATTTGCTTATTACAAGTAGCACTGGATGTAGGGGGCATGAAAGTAGTAAAAAGTTTACTAGGAATTTGAAGCTATGAAACTCTGTGCACGTGCACACACATACACGTGCACACCTACACACACACACACTGCCATTATGGCATTGTGCTATGCAAAGAAAATAGGTCTCCTGTGACCTTATTCCTTATTGCAAAAAAGACTGGGTAATAAGAGATCAGCTAAAGCAAACCAAGGCCACACAACAAAGAGGTTCAAAATCTAAACCAAGGGATCCTAACAGTCACCTAAATAAGTAACACGGATTAAGTAGTTATCATGGCATTTACCTGTGAAGGATTTAAACGTCTGAGAAGTAAAAAAAAAAAAAAAAAAATCATGCACTCAATTTCTGTTGTTTATGCTAAAAAGTAAAAATGATATTAAATATCCAGTAATCAGAAAAAGAATCTCCACAGTAAAAACTTGAAGTTAATTATCAGAATCTGATATTTCAACATGCTGATCAAAACAAATTATGAATAATTATATTTCTTTAGAATTAGAAATTATCACTTGGCCTTTTGGCTAAGATCAACTGTAGAATTATAAATTATGCTGTTTATATAACACTTCAAAGTTAAGAACTATTTAACGTGTACTTCAAAAACAATATACTTCATTTTTGACAACCTGTGTATGGTGTCATCTGGGATATTTCATAGATGACACTATACACAGGTATAGTGTATTTTTTAGGGGTATGTCAGGCCTATAAAAAATTATTGACAACATGGATTCACACTAGGATTGCACATCAAGTGGAACCTGGACTGAAATGGGCTGTCTGTTCTGCCAGATGAGGAACTGCTTGAGGGTGCTGTTGGCACTGCATTTATCTCTGCTTCCCTGTACATGGGCAGGCATGGTGAATTTTACATAAGGATACTGAGTCTCTGTTGTCCCTGATTGATGGAACAATGCAGAGAACTTCATATGCCATAGGGCTTGATTAGCAAAAGCATGTAAGGTTGAATAAGTCAGAAATGTGGTAATCCATTCTAATTTAGAAAAATAAGGATGGGGTGGTGAGGGGGGTGGTTCTAGGTCAGGCCAATCTAGGATTGCCAGAGACAAATAGAGAACACCCAGTTATATTTTACTTTTAAATTCAAAAACAAATGACATTTTTATAAAACTATATCCCAAATGTTGCATGGGATACATCTATGCTAAAAAAAAAAAAAGGGGGGGAGGGGGGTTTATTTACATGATATTCAAGTTTAACTTGTCATCTTGTATTTTTATTTGCTAAATCTGGCAACCCAAGGCCAATCTAGTCATTTTAAATCTTTTCCTATTTCTATACAACAAATTTTGTATGATAAGTAGTACAAACATGGTTAACTTATCAAGCAAGTATTTATTTAATATCCACTCTACTATATAGTACTTGAAGCTTTAGGGGGCAGTTATATGAGAAACAAATCTCAATCTCTGCCCTTCTGGATCTGACAATCTAATTATGGAGAAAAACTGAAGCATTCGAGGCAAGTGCTCAGTGATGTAGAATCAGAGCCAAAGAGCGAAGCACCATTGTAGAGCTTATGTATAGAAGAGAACCCCATTTTTGGAGAAGAAATGGAAGAAGTTGACCAAAAAGCACAGATGCAAACTTCAAGATGCATCTAGAGTTGAAGGGAGCAGAGTTGTGAAGAGTCTAGAACAGAAGGTGCATGTACATGAGTGCAGGTAATATGTAGGGAGAGTGCGGAGCACTCAGATTATGAAAGGTTTTGAAAGTCACATAGTATTGTTTGGCTTAATGCATTGATAAGATAATTCCATTGAAAAGTCTTATACATCAAGGAACTCACTAGGATCCTAAGTAGGCTTGGAAGAGAAATCTTAAGATATTTTCTCTGTGTGGTTAGTTAAAATAATTGACTATCATTAATTAAAAATAATATAAGTATACCAAAGACTTAATATATTTTACCAGTGTATTATAGTTAAGGAGAATTTATTATCCTTTATCATTAACCTGCCATATATCTTTCAGAAAAGTTTTACATAATCTTTTAGGGTTTCTATGAGTTTCAAGGTTGCATTTATTTACTTTCATAAAACAGCCATGTAAGCTAGCTTCCCCTAATGTATATGATATATTGAAATATGATCTAAATGATCTGATATTGAGGTATGATCCAAATAGTACATAGATGTATTTGTGCATTATTGGGAAAAATACAAGATAGGAAAATGAAATGAATAATGTATCAGAGTTCATTATATGTGTTTCAAGTAACAGAAAACCCAATACAAACTGACTTTACAAAGGAACAGGTTTGATTGGCTCTCATAAGTGAAAGGTCCATCTCAGAAAAGTAATCAGAACTGATGTGTTTCTATTCACCTTGGCAGCAACACATTTATTCCGAGGCTGACTTTTCTCTTGGTGGCAGAATGGCTGCAGGAATTCTGGAGTTCACCTCAACAGCAGCCCAAAACAGAAATATCTGATTCCTTAAAACTCTTTCTGAGAAGGACAAAAAATGTCTCCCCTAGAATTCTTCAACTAATTTGTCTGCAGATCTCATTGGCATTAATTGTGTCACATGTTTACTGCTGATGAAATTCCTTTGCCGTTTGAGTACAGAATAAGCTAGTATAAGAAAAGTGGAATTACTGTAAATGGGCTAAATAATAGCAAGCCACCTCTGTAGAGTTGTGACTGCTGGCAGCAGTACGAGGGGAAGGGGTGGAAGGTGAAACAGCTGTTGCACGGATCACCACAATGTGCACTACAAACAAACTGCTATAAAGCAATTATTTCAGGAGGAAAAAAAATGGCTCAAAATAAAAAACTGTGTATAAAGTTGTTAGTGGCCTATAGGCTGAGCATTGAGCTCTTTAAGGAATTAAATCTTTAGAGTTGGATTAAATAAAGTATTTTTGTCTGCCATTTTATTTTATGGTTTTCTTTGAGTTGTTATTGAGATTTGTTGAGTAATAAGATAGCCATTTTTATTCTCAATATTATATTATAGTAAGAATTATCTTTTATATATGTGTTCTTTGCTTTCTGATATTGAACATAGAGAATATTATAATTGGTGATGAATCTCTTCTATAAGATGTTATATAATACAACGAGTAGAGAACAAAAAGTCAAGGTAAAAGGCATTAGGGAAGATATGCCAATAGTGTGTCAGAAAAGATACAAGAATAGATATGAAAGAACAGGAAGTATTTTGATTAGGAATAGTTCAATCTCTGTGTCTTAATTTTCTCTAGTGAAAGGTAAAAATACAAAATGACATGCCTTTCACACAGTGATAGCTACACAGCTTATAATTTAGTACTCTTTTGCTTGTTATTTTGAATTAGGAACTTAAAATTATAGACAGAGTAGTAGACCATAACAGGTATATATTATATATGAAGTAGTGTGGGATGGCAAATTTGAAAAAAGCAATAAATAGAAAAACTGCAAAGAAAATTCTTGAAACTGAAGAACTTTAAAACAGGGATTATAAATAATTTTAGAAAAGCCAGCATATAACTAAAATTGAAAGATGTGGAGAGTGAATTTGGTAAATGAAATCAATTTAACCACATGTAAAAGAAATGGGGCTGAATTTTAAGCACCATACTTTCAACATTTTCTCTGCTTAAAAGCTTACAATCTACTCCAAAAATATTTTAGAGATCAAGAACCAGAGCTTTTGACCCATTCAAATCTGGAATTATATCCTAGCATTGGTAGTTGGTTAGAAAAGTATTTTTCCTGGAAATCTGTTCCTTCATTAGTAAAACTGGGGAAGTAACAGCACCATCTTCTGTGGGTAGGTGGGTGGCTGAATGGATAGATGATTGATTGATTGATTGATTGATAGAGTACTGGGTGAGATGATGTTTGTGGAATATCTGTAATAGAAAAATATTCAATAATTGGTGTTTATTATTCTATCACAGCTGAAATAAGATTTCCACGTTAATTTACTCTGAATCAAACAAAAGTAAGATTTTGTAACATCTCAGGATAGTTCTAGGTGTTGACTATTCAACATAAAATATTGTGGCATAACTTTCTCTTTATCTGAAATCTTCAAAGACATCTAGGAAAACATTCCCCGGCCCATAAAACGTGATAGGGTTCTGACCCTACACGATTACATCAACACATTTGTGATAATACCACTACTTCCCCAGATAATTTTTTTGACTCACACAATCACAATATTACATTATTTTTATTAGAAACAACTCTACAGATTATTTAATTTAGCCCCCACTAATAAGTAAATCCAAAGGAAAAAGTTAATTGACTTTCCTCAGGCCACATGGCATGTTAGAGTCCTATCCAAAATTATTACCAAAGACTATGTATTAGGAAAAGAGAGGTTAAGCTGCAATAAAAACAAGTCAGAATCTCAGTGAATAACTGAACAGAAATTTTGCTTTGTGTGCCATGAGTGCTGGTGGGGACCACTGCTCTTCACAAGCCCATCCTAACAAGTAGTTCAACTTTCTACCCAATGCAGAACCATATATTTGTT